GAGCGACACTCAGCACTGATGCTCATAACTATTTCAAAATAATTATTTTCGACAATTTTTTCTTCTAGAATTATTAAATTATTCTTAAATCATCTATATCAACTGAAACCGGCTTGAAATTTTACTGTATACCTGTTTTACAGACGATATATAAGTCAGGTGTGAGAAAATAGGAAACTGCCATTTTGAAGAGCGACACTCAGCGCTGATGCTCATAACTATTTCAAAATAATTATTTTCGACAATTTTTTCTTCTAGAATTATTAAATTATACTTAAATCATCTATATCAACTGAAACCGGCTTGAAATTTTACTGTATACCTGTTTTACAGACGATATATAAGTCAGGTGTGAGAAAATAGGAAAGTGCCATTTTGAAGAGCGACACTCAGCACTGATGCTCATAACTATTTCAAAATAATTATTTTCGACAATTTTTTCTTCTAGAATTATTAAATTATACTTAAATCATCTATATCAACTGAAACCGGCTTGAAATTTTACTGTATACCTGTTTTACAGACGATATATAAGTCAGGTGTGAGAAAATAGGAAAGTGCCATTTTGAAGAGCGACACTCAGCACTGATGCTCATAACTATTTCAAAATAATTATTTTCGACAATTTTTTCTTCTAGAATTATTAAATTATACTTAAATCATCTATATCAATTGAAACCGGCTTGAAATTTTACTGTATACCTGTTTTACAGACGATATATAAGTCAGGTGTGAGAAAATAGGAAACTGCCATTTTGAAGAGCGACACTCAGCACTGATGCTCATAACTATTTCAAAATAATTATTTTCGACAATTTTTTCTTCTAGAATTATTAAATTATACTTAAATCATCTATATCAACTGAAACCGGCTTGAAATTTTACTGTATACCTGTTTTACAGACGATATATAAGTCAGGTGTGAGAAAATAGGAAACTGCCATTTTGAAGAGCGACACTCAGCACTGATGCTCATAACTATTTCAAAATAATTATTTTCGACAATTTTTTCTTCTAGAATTATTAAATTATACTTAAATCATCTATATCAACTGAAACCGGCGAGAATTTTTACTGTATAATTGTTTTATAGAGGATATATAAATCAGGTATGAGAAAATATGAAAGTGCCATTTTGAAGAGCGACACTTTTCACTGATGCTCATTCTTCATAATTATGCCTGTTTCTCGTTATTTATCTGTTAAATAAAAACTGGTTGATAGAACTTATATATATTTTCAACTTATATTTTGATAAATTACAGATATTTAAGGTTCGTTACTAGACTTCACTTCTCGGTTCACCTCCGTTCACACCTTTAATTGGTATCAAATTATCAATCGATCATGGAGAGCTGTGTTTGTTAGTTATTAACATACAGGTAATTTTTGACACCTGTCTGAGATAACGCCCACGGCGTGGTTCACACCTATTAAGAAATGACTGAGGGACTGTGGCATATTTTTTCTTTCTTTTTTTTTAAATACAAGTATCTGTTCAATTTACCGCGATTAAATGTGTAGCCGTTTATTCTCTATAATATAGAAATTTAAACGATCATTTAATAATTCTATACGAGGTAAAAAAAAAATGAAAAGTTCTAAAATTTTAAAATTTTATTTGTCTTGCCTTCTTTTAAGATTAAAATAAACAAAGAAAACATAAAAATCTACGACTTTGGATACTATTACCATGGAATTAAATTCAGTGGGACACCGCTTCGATTTGAAGCGACCGAAATCCCTAGGCATGCGCAGAAGCCAGTGCTCAGTGTCGCTCTTTCTCCTATATATTCTATTAAGAGCGACACTGAGCACTAGCGACAGTTTTCACGGTTACACCGGTACCTTTTTCTTTTGCAGCATTTCATTTATCGTTTTTGAAAGGTTGATTTGATTATCTCTTATTCATATAAAAAGAACAGATATTTAAGAGCAGCCTGTACATTATACTCCAGGTGATTTTGGTATATTACAGGCACTAGCATCGTTTTAAAAACCGGGGGTGGGGTGGGGGTGGAGGTTACTCGCTTCACTAACAGAAGCGAGCTCAGAATGCGAGCGGATCTAACATCTAATTTTAATTAGATTGTGGTTCATACAGACTACATTATCCTTATTTGATTAGTTTGGGTGGGTGGGTGCAATCATAGTCGCTTGGTTTCAGTATGGTGTATATATATATACACAGTGATATGACATTTTTAACGGTGTCTTGAGACGAGCAGCTACACTTCCATGTATACATGCAATATATTATTATCGGGTACCTGTAAAATGCGAAACGAAATAGAAACGAAACGAAACGAAACGAACTGAAACGAAACGAAATCTGCCGAAACGAAACGAAATCTACCGAAACGAAACGAAACCTACCGAAACGAAACGAAATCACGACGAAACGAAACGAAATCAAAACGAAACCTGCCGAAACGAAACGAAACAGAACTATCAATTTATTTTTTTCAAATTAAGGTACTAGTACATGCCTATAATCATATATGTGTAACTGCATGTGGACGTTTTTTACTTCAAATAAAATTGATATAGTTCTAGGACTTGTTAATATAAAATTTTAAGTTATGCTCCCTTCTCAGTCTAATGAAGTTTTTATATGTTTGCCAGCTGCAAATATACACGAGCGTACTATGCACGTGTAATTTCAATATGTGCAGTATTTCTAATTTTTATATCTTACTCTTATTTTCAGTCCTTATTTATCTAGATACAACATATCTATCAAATTATTGATGTGTTACATGTAAAGGCTCGTTTATGTACGGGTCGAAATAAAGTCACAGTACTGTTGTATTGCGAATGGCTTAAAACATAGGATAAATCAGCGAATTACAGTATTCAGTATTCCATTCCGTTCAGTTATACATGTAACTACTACCGGAATCTTGTGTATCCTTTCTATGTACATTCGGTCCTATTTTTATCGAGATAATTTTCGAGGAAGAAATGAGTGGTTTGCAATAAAGAGGCTCGATCAGAGACGTCTAAACAATTTAACTGACAAAAAAAGTCTCTGAAAGCGAACGATGTCAATTTTAAGTAGGTAAATTATTCAGTAAGATACTTAATAAAATATGACATAGGCGTCAGAAGTGGGGAGGGGGGGTGGTGTTAGCCCCCCTCCACTTTTTTTGCAAAGATATATATATATATATATATATATATATATATCATATAGGCATTGAAAATTGGGGTTAACCTTTTTGTTGGTTAAGCCCCCCTTTCAATTTCCTTCCGACGCGTATGTCTATGTATGAGCTTGAGGCGAAACAATTTCCTGTGGTGCTTGAACTATATAAATTTCATATGAAGTAAAAATAGACCATATTAACATTCTTAAAGTTTTGTTTCGTTTCGTTTCGGCAGGTTTAGTTTTGATTTCGTTTCGTTTCGTCGTGATTTCGTTTCGTTTCACTCGGAGTTCCTCGGATGACTCGTACCTCGCACATAACCTCGGACGTCAACGGTGATCTACCATCTTGCTGATTCAGTCATGTGATCTTATTTAAATTTCTTTCAAATGTCATACATTTGAAATCGGACTTATTTTGTGGCACACTCAACAGTTTTTTCTGGCTTTCAAAGCCTGTTAACGTGAGGATGTAATCAAAACCTGTTTACGATAAAGAATTGCATAAATTAAGAAACATTTTCGAAGAACGTTATGCAGAGCGAAATATGAAATGAGTGATAAGGCAGTTTCCGGCGGAGAAATGTAAGGATCTGTTGCGTATTCCTCCATGCACCAATCACGTCCGAGGTTTGAATGGAGCGTAGCGGAGTCAGCCGAGGATTGCCGATTGGTTTCGTTTCGGTAAGTTTCGTTTCGTTTCGGTTGATTTCGTTTCGTTTCGGCAGATTTCGTTTCGTTTCAGTTCGTTTCGTTTCGTTTCGTTTCTATTTCGTTTTGCACTTTACAGGTACCCATTATTATCACAGGCACTTAACGTTAGGCCTACTTATTATGCGCCCGAATCGATAGATCCGAGGCGTATATTGTTTTTGTCCTGTCTGTTTGTCTGTCTGTCTGTTGTCAACTTTAACCTTCGCCATAACTTTTGAACCATGAGAGATAGAGACTTCATATTTGGTTTGCATACTCCACCAATGAAGCTCTTTCAAATGGCACCAAAGTCGATGACCTTGTGACCTTGACTGTGACCTGTATGCTAAAAATAGCTTTTTTGAACTTTCGCCATAACTTTTGAACCATGAGAGGTAGAGACTTCATAATTGATATGCATACTCCACTAATAAAGCTCTTTTAAATGACATCAAGGTCATGACCTTGTGACCTTGACTGTGACCTATATGCTAAAAATAGCTTTTTAGACTTTTCGCCATAATTTTTGAACCATGAGAGATAGGTACTTCATATTTAGTATGCATCACTAATAAAGTTCTTTCAAATGACACCAAGGTCGATGACCTTGTGGCCTTGACTGTGACTTATCTGCAAAAAATAGTTTTTTTGAACTTTGTTACCGCCGAGCGCATAGTGTTTCACAAACACATCTTGTTTTTTCTTTTTATATTAAATATACCCCTACCTAATAAATAAAATTATTATTAGATAGGGGGTATACTTTTTTTATTAAAAGAAAGATAAGTAACGTCAAGTGCCTGTGATTATTATCTATAGATTCTCTTCAAAGCGCTTTAGCCTTGACCTTTCATAAATATAGAAAATTCCCAGGGTTCCCGATCCGAAATATACTCTGTGGTAGAAGATTTATCGGATCGGAAACCCTTGGCTAGCGAAGATGAAAATTCCACATACTATAATAATTATGCTATTATTATAGTATATAGGGAATTTTTTTTATGAAAAAGAAAGGTTAGAAACGTCAAGCGCTTGAGAGTTTATTTAAAAAATTGAATGTCAGTTCGAAAGGAAAAAAAATCATACAATAACACCCTATACATGTAATACGCCTTGTAAAGACATGAACAGGAGACGTTAGTGGTTTATTGATTTTTTATTATGTTTCTGAATACATTGGTGGTGGTGAAATAGGTATCGTCTGCTGTGGCGTGGTGCCTTGTGGTGGCGACCTCGGAAATAAAGAGCGGTAAGGAGGGGGTCCCTCGGCACAGACCGGGAAATGACCGGGGCTAGAAGGACCTAAAGTGTAAAGGAAATGGTTGTATTAAATAAGCAAAATTAAATTCATTTTTATTTGAAGAATGTCTTTAACTTTGATTTCAAAATGTTTGAAGCGCAATATTCTGTTTCATTAATTGTTTAACTTTATTAGAATCACTGAACGGAACTTTTAAAAATAAATTTCCGAGACAATTATTAGGAAACAATGAACAGTATATAGAAATGTGCTGATAGATACACCTACTGTTGTTGGTGACAAAAGTGACGGTGGTGGGGGAGGAGTGTCTGACGTCATTATGACTGACCAGTCGGTTACTGCCGTTCTTAGATTTACAGCAGAATAGGGCGATACACACTGCTACAGATATCATGATCCCCAGGGTAAATAAGACTCCCAGTATAATACCGGCTACTGTAGCCTCCTGGCTAAAAATATGATAAAATTATACCTTATATTACAAGTATAGCTGTAATCAGTTAAAGCGTTCTCCAAAGATATCAGATCAAGATAAAAAAAAAAAAGATAAAATGTATATTACTCACCACCATTGAAAATATCAGTTAAAGAACATATGGCACAAGCTTTCTTCAAAAATTATTATTTCATTTGATTATTTTCTCTTCGCAAAACGAGAATCGTGTTTGATTTAAAATATTTTTATTATTCAATCGAAATCACTGAAATGATTGCACAACAGGATAAACGCCTATGATCACTGACTTGTATTTCGAAACCAGATACAATAGAAAACATAGAAAAAATATTACCCTAAGAAAACTGTCGTGAACAACGTTGCAAACGCTCTCACCTAAATAATAAACACTCGTCATAGGCGTCGGAACCGGGAGAGGGACTTAGCCACCCCCATCCCCCACCCCCAATTTTTTTTAGCAAAGATAGACATAACATCTAGGCATTGAAATTTGGGGTTAAGCTTTTTTGGTTGGTTTACCCCCCCCCCCCCTTCACTTTCAATTAGCCACCCCACTTTCAATTTGCTTCCGACGCCTATGCTCGCCATTTTCCCACGGAGAATCATGAGAATTAATACAGTACTACTTACTCTGATGTTGTGATGTTGTTGGAATAAGAGAGATGGTAGTTGCATTCTATTGATGATGCTGGAACAGAAAAATATTTATATTAATGAAATGTCTTAAAATAGGAATACTTTGGAAAGCCGAATGTAGGAGCATTATCAGCATTCCCAAGATATAATTATTTACATCTAATGCACTCAAATTTTCACATTGACACGTTGATTCATAACCTCTGGCATTGCGAAGATGCACTCAAAGAATAAAGTCAGATCTGTATTAATTTTTTTTCACCAGAACAATTATCGTCTAACCATGTAAATAAATAACTAACTCAACACTAAATGAAAAATTCAGTTTGTTATTTGAAGGAAAAAAAAACAACAAAGTATAACGACATTTAGACCCCTCCTCCCTAGAAACAGGAAAGCAAGTACTTTTCTTGTATACATGTACATACGAAAGCGGGTGTCTAACCCACAGGCACTTGTTTCGTATACGGGGTACACCCTACCTATATTTGGTAAATATAGGTAGGGGGTACCCCGTATACCTGTATACGAAACAAGTGCCTGTGGTCTACCCCAACCCTTTCGATATACTTTTGGAAATGTTATTTCCAAGTCAACTTTTTAAACATTCATCAAGTTGACACTACTCCCTAAAAGTTCATGAATCTGCCCATGAGATACTGGTTTGACGTTTTCAAATGCTTGACGATTACATATTTGTCTGGATGTAAATGATGTGTATAGGCACGGATCCAGGAATTTTTTCCAGTCAAACAAGATTTCCAATCCTGAAATTTCTTGACAAGCAAAAAATAAATGAACAAATAAACAAACTTTGATTCATTTCCCAGACGTGAAAACCCTATTTCGGGGGGAGGGGGCATTCAAGTTTTAGACCTATGACTCTTCATTCCAATTTCACATAGATGTTCCGTTTTGAGGAGGGGTCCACGTTTCCTAGGGGGGATTCTAATGTCACTTTTACTTGATTTCGTATATGCATTTAATAACTGCAAATTCCAGGGGGGGGGGGGTCGCGCATGTAACATGTATACCTGAGACAAAATATTTCAGAATCAAGTTCTCTAGATCTGATTACACCAGAAAATCAGGGACTTTCAATTTACCTGGTAGAAAAATATGCATATCAAAATTCCTTCTGAAAGCAATGTTTGTTTCTCCTACACTATTTGAATACACTGTAATTGACCCATTTGCCAGAAAAAAATGTTAAATTATGAAACTTGTCCCGTCCCGGGTTCATATCCAAAACTCATTTCAAATAATGAAAATGATTGAAAAGAAAATTTTAGGCACGTACCTTGAAATAGAACTATGTAACAAACAAACACCGCGATAGCATGGAAGTCCATGCTTGTGTACTAAGACTAAACTCTTCTAAAGTTCAAAACACATGATCAGTTGTTATAGTGAGACAATATCATGTAACCCGTTAAAGGAGACAATATGAACTCTATTCGCCATGAATTAATCAAGATTAAAGCTCTTGTCGTGGGATTAACTAGAAATCATTAACTCACTCATTTAGCGTTTTGTTGTCCGTTAGCCTATCTGGATGGTGTTAAAAAATATTCTTTATTACACGACTTTCCATCGATTTATTTCATTGACCATAAACATATTTTTCTTGACTTTATCAGGGACCTATATACTAAGTATATACGTCCCTGACTTTATTCAATGTAAAACTGAAAAAAAAAATAATAAGAAAAAGAAAAATTTCTTAATTTGTGTAAGTTCTGCAAACAAATTAAGGTAGAAAAGTTCATTTTCATTTGATCTCACGCCCATAAACAACTGATAAAGACTAATGTTTTTTTTTAACGCGCATAAATTGTAATCATTAAATTTTAGTTGAATTGCTATATCAAATTTAAAAAAACAGGCGCCTGAAATATGGATATCCCCCCCATTTTCTTAATTTAAAAAAATGTATGAGTGTACAATATTTCAAAAAAAAAAAAAAAAAAATCCTCGTCAAACACATTAATTTTATATGTCGTTCTATGCAAGCAGATTTTACTTTTTCTCACGTTTAAGAATGGCCCTATACACGATATAATAAAATTGTATTTTAAGGACAGATGATATAAACAAATTTTTTCTTTGAAAAAGATTAAATATCATGTCACAAGTTTAGAAAAGTGGATGGTTCTTAGATTTTTTTTCTCTCCGAAGAACTGGAATATGAAAAAGACTTGGAAAATATTAGTAATATTTCAATGAAAACACAAATATAGACACATCACATTCAGTAAAGGTTTACAGGTGAAAATAAATTTCAGAATATGTTATCTTGGTGCTGAAAGTGTAATATAAACGTAAGAAAAATATACCGAGCCAGGTGAATTTTATTAGGAAAAGCTAAATAGTAAAAATCAGCCTATGTGATATTGCCAATTTTTTGTCATTTCGATCTTCCTCTTAAAATTCACCTGGCTTGGTATATTTTTCTAAGGTTTATGTTACACTTTTAACGCCAGGATAACATATTCTGAAATTTATTTTCACCTGTAAACCTTTACTGAATGTGATTTTTCTATATTCGTTTTTTTTATTGAAATATTACTAATATTTTCCAAATCTATTTCATTTTCCAGTTCTTCGGAGAAAAAATTCTAAGAACCATCCACTTTTCTAAACTTAGGACATGATATTTAATCTTTTTCAAAGAAAAAATTTGTTTGTATCATCTGTCCTTAATTACAAAAGAAGACGAACTGAATTACTACTTATAGTTATACGTACAGTTATACCAGGGACCTATATATATGTTATATACTAGTTATAGTTTGTATATAAATAGGCCCCTGCTGGTGCATGTTTGTTGAGAAATATATTTTTTTTGGATAACCATTGTGCTTTTTTCATATAAAAAAATTTCTCCTCCCTTTCAAATAGAAATAAATTTATATGGCTAATGTCAAATGAAAGTAGTGATATAATAAATAGTTTTGCAGAATATATATTTAAATGTTACAATAAAAGATCCAATGTTGTCTCAGGATGTTCCTGAAAGTCGAGAATGATATAATATGCAGACAAGGTAGATATATCCACTAAAATTTATGCATGATGTGGCATAATATTTGCGTTTGTGTACTTTTATCATATATTATACATATTCATTGTTGCATATGAATTCAACTATCATTTGGATCTCTTCCTCTCTTTAGCTTTATATTTTATTTATGTTGTATTTATCTTGAATGCCCTTCATGGGCCCAAAATTGGAAATAAATGATATTCTATATTCTATTCTATAAAAAGAAAATACATTCTAGGGCCTATGTGGAAACTTTCATTTTTTATTACACAAGTAAATAATATATTGAAGAGTTAATGCAACATTGATAACGAACAAGTCATCGAATCTTTAAAAAATATGCAGGTTATGTTTGTAAACAAGTTATTTATTGAATGAATGAGGTCAAGAGTTAGTATTCGTAAACAACGAAAAAATCTAGAATTCACGAACGTCAAAGGATGTAAAACGATGAAAAGTCAAGAAAACACTCGAATGCTTAGGCTAACTTCCAAGGCCTTCCGAAATTTATCATTCGCTAGTCCTCTAGAAGTTTCCTTCAACATAAACAAAAAACAAGTTGTTTACATAGCTGGACGAACTTTCTGGCAAGGTCGCGTAAACACACATCAAAGCTTATATATATATAGAGCGACAGTCATGATGGAAAACACCGAACGAGCCTCAGAAGATGTCAGCGTGAAACTTGCAGTAACGTTTATTCAATGGAGAAAAGAAAAATGCCAGCAATCGGAATTGATTTGGGGACATCATTTTCGTGTGTTGGTGTTTTTCAAAACGGCAAAGTGGAAATTATTGCAAATGACGAAGGGAATCGCACAACACCAAGTTATGTTGCTTTCTCGAACACGGGACGCCTCATTGGAGACGGAGCCAAAAGTCAGGTAACTATGAATGCTGTAAACACGATTTTTGACGCGAAACGATTGATCGGACGCAAGTTTAACGATGACAGGGTCCAGGAGGACATGAAACTCTGGCCGTTCAGGGTCGTTAATGACTTGGGGAAACCTAAAGTTGAAGTATCTTACAAGGAAGAAATGAAGAGGTTCACGCCTGAAGAAATCAGCTCTATGGTCCTAGTGAAAATGAAGAAGATTGCAGAAGCATATCTTGGACAAACAGTTAAAGATGCCGTCATAACTGTGCCTGCATTCTTCAATAACGCGCAAAGGGAGGCTACCAGGGATGCAGGTGCAATCGCGGGTCTTCACGTTCTTCGCATTATGAATGAGCCAACTGCTGCAGCCCTTGCATACGGACTAGAGCAAAATGACAGAGGTGAGAGAAATGTGTTGGTCTATGATTTAGGAGGAGGAAAATTAGATGTATCCATAGTTACAATTGACAATATTTCTGTTTTTGAGGTTTTGTCTACTGCTGGGGACACGCATCTTGGAGGTGAAGACTTTGACCATGTCCTAGTAAATCATTTCGTGGAAAAATTCCTGCTGAAGCACGGAAAGGACGTTACAGGCAACAGCCGGTCACTGAGACGACTGAAAATGGCCTGTGAGCGAGCTAAGAGGATCCTGTCGAGTAGTACAGAGACCTGCATCCAGCTGGACGCATTCTTTGAGGGCATTGACTTTTACAGCAATATTTCTCGTGCAACTTTTGAAAAACTTTGTGATGATTTGTTCCTTCAAACCCTAGAATCAGTGAAGAGGGCGTTATTAGATGCTAACTTGGAGACAAACCAGATCGATGAGGTGGTAATGGTGGGGGGATCAACGAGAATTCCACAAATCCAAAAAATGCTTCAGGACTTCATGGGAGTTAAAGTGTTAAAGAGATCCATAAACATAGAAGAAGCTGTGGCCTATGGCGCAGCGTGTCAAGCAGCCATTCTTGTTGGAGACAGAGGTGACTTGCTCAAAGACATTGTTCTTGTGGACGTGGCTCCTTATTCCCTGGGCATCGAGACAGCAGGGGGATTTATGGACAAGGTTATTCACAGAAATACCAGAATTCCAGCGAGGGCATTGCAGACATTTACAACTTTCTACAACAATCAGAAGGGGGTGACAATTGGTGTTTTTGAGGGCGAACGAGCCATGACCAGGGATAACAACTGTGTGGGGAAGTTTGAACTGAAAGGCATTCCCCCAGCTTTGTGTGGCATTCCCCAGATAGAGATCTCGTTTGACATTGATGCCAACGGAATCGTGGATGTGACTGCTAGAGACAAGAAAACGGGAACATCAAACCAGATCACGATCTCGAAGAACAAGCTGAGTATGGATGAAATAATCCGCATGATGAACGAAGCAAAAAAGTACCAAGAGGATGATGAAATTGAACGTCAGCGTGTAGAAATCAGAAACTGTCTAGAGTCGTACTTGATTTCCGTGCAGGAACAGGTACGGAATGCAGATGGGAATGTGCATTTAGAAGAAATAAGAACCATTTCTCTACTGTATAGGGACACATTTTCCTGGCTGGATGGTACTGGTCCAGTGGACCTAATGGCATTACAGCAGAAGTTACTCGACGTACAGCAAATGTGCTCACCAATCCTTGAAAAACTTCAGTGCAGGGCACAAATCCAGCAGTTTACCAGCATAGAATTTGCTTGAGCACAATCCAAAATTCATATGTTACAATGTAATATTATTTGCTGTTTTTTTTTTTCTTAGCTAAATCTGCCATTATCTACAGTTGTTAATTAATCTAAAGCAATTAATTGTCCCGGTGATTATGTCCAAAACACTGATGTACAAGTCTAATATTTTGGTATAATGTGTAATTGTTGTAATATATTTTTTTTTGGACAGTGGGAGGGTGTCCTACATATTACAGAGTGTGAATATGATGCACTAGAGTTTAATTTCCCTTTGAACTTTGTATATTTTTTGGAAAATTTACTTTTGAAAGAGAAGAATCGTCTCTATACCCCCGTTTTTTAAATATGATTTGTCCAATGCAAGTAGCTTTATGATTGTTCATTTTGTCCTTCCATATCAAATTAATTAGCACAGAAATGCTTGGGATTTTTTGTTCCTTGAGCTCGTCAATAAGATTGAGCAATTTTGTTTGAATAAAAAAATTCAGCTAGTCCAGAGGTTTCAAAAACCTCTTCTGAGACATTACTCTTTTTTTTTTTTTTTCAGATTTCACAAAGCATTTTATAAATCCCCTCCTCCCCTAACTGCCTAAGTAAGTGTAAGAGAAGGAAGTGTAAGAGGAGGAAGAAGGAGGGATAAAAGTGTCAACAGTGGAGAAGATCTCAATCTAATTAAAATTAGATGTTCAGAATCCGCTACTGCTTCTCAAACAACTGCAACAACATCCCATCCAGGGTCACGTCAGAGCAACCTTTTGATTAGCCAATGAAATCGTAGCCTCCAAAATCTTGGCTTGTAGGTGAGCAGTTTGAGAAGTGGTAGCAAATTTGGAACATCTAATTTTAATTAGATTGAGAAGCTCCCAAATGCATTTTAGTTTCACCAACTTGAACTATTGCTGCATGAGTATTGCATGGAGGTCAGGTCAAGTAGAAAATTCACATTTCCCTCAACCCTGAAAAAGTCAACTACTGGACCAAAGTTTTAAATGTGTATAAAAAGATGGGGCCACAATTTAAAGTAAAATATTTTTGTCTTCATGCAATATTTTTAAAATTGCTCATGCTTCCAACTGAAAAGGCGCAGAACCTTTTTACCATATAAAAAGGTCAAAGTCTGCCCAAATACATTTATAAAGAGAAGATAAATAAGAGCTAGGTTCACTTTATGCATAAAATTTATCTTTCCCATTTCATGTGTCAAAATAAAGTAGACACTTGGTGCTTTTATTTAATTTCCTATAATAAAATTTCTTTTTGAGAATCCAGATATTGGAAAACAGGCTTCAAGAAATTGCAATGTTCTTGAAATTTGCAGAAAACATGCACATTTTGAATACCTTCAGCAAAGAATTGAAATATGAGCACAGCCATGTTTTTTGATCTTCAGAAACGGATCTTTCATTATGTATTTGCATATTTTGGATCAGAGGTTGTGCTCTATATGAAATATTGAGAAAATATACTTCAACTTTAGGCCCTTTTCAAAGGAATTGACAGGATATGAGGAAAATGATGCATTTTATGATGTCATAATGCATTAACTACAGGGAAAATTATGTCATGATTAATAGATACGTAGTCACCAACACTCCAAGTGATAAAGACTGCATTCGCAACCTAAACCTAGCGGTTTTGATTTTTCAGAAATTCTCAGGGCCAAATAAGGCCCAAAATGGCTCTTGCTCTTTTTATAATTTTTTGCCTTTATACAATGTCTTGGTATTAAAACACATTTGAAAAATTACTGATTTGACATGTTTGAAAGAAAGTAAAACACTTACTGCACATCAGACACAAACTGAATTAAAAAAAAAAAGCTCAGGAAAGTTTATGGGCAATTAAAAAAACTAAACATATTCTAAGATGATTAACAATATACTATATTTTGCATTTTTTCATGCATGGTTTTGTTGTTAGTATATTATTTGATGTATAGATACAGTGTATGGATATTATGTTTTTGATGTAAGCAATCTTCGGTACATTTTTCATATGTACAAATAAAGAGATCTTTAAATAACAGTGACAGTTAAAGTAACTGAAATTTCATTTGAAAGTTTCAGCAGATGGACACAAAAAGCACATTTTGATTTTTAGTCTTTTTTTCTCATGGTATGGAGAAAAAAATGGCCATGTCCAGTTAGACACCCTCCCTCTTTTTTTTTGGTCAGTTGGAAATAATATTTTTATCAAAATGAGGTCATGATAATTTTTTTTCCAATAAATGTGTTCAGCTAAATAGATGTGCCATATGTAAATGATATTACCTCACATTTTTCTTGAGATATCAGTACCTTTATCTTTTGATACTGATTTTTTTTTTTTGGTACCTCGGAGTTATGTGTGTTGTACAATTTTATAGGTTTTTTTGTTTGTTTTTTGTTTGCTTTTTAATATTTAAATTAAAAAAACTACTTTTTGTAAGTTGTGGAATACCCATACCAAGGGGAGTTGTTGTTAGTGTATTTGTAAGATTGAGTCTAAGGGATTTGATGCATCAATATGCTGAATTTTGATGTGTTAATTTATTTTCTATGAAGTTCACGTCTGCTCATTTATTTACAAGTACTGTAAATCACCTTTTATTCGCGAGAACTTTATTTTCGCGTAATTACACGAGACAATGTGCTTGCGAAAATTTAATTCTCGCGTATAATAGCATTCCTTAAGATTATATAGAGCAATAACCATAATTCGTGAAAATTTTGTCTCGCTAATCAACTGTAATGTCGCGAAAATAAGGAAAATTTAGTGATCTACAGTATTATAAGGCCATTAACTGTTATTTAATTTTAGGAATGATGTAGACAGAAGGTTCTTTTTTTAACAGAAAAAACCCAAAAATGATTTAAGAAATTGTAATTCAGTGTTCTTCCATAATAAGAAATCAGGGGTAGCAACTGTTATATCTGTCCTTCATCTTTGAATTCAAACCTGATGTGATACTCGAGCATTGTAAGTTTGTAATTATACATGTATTTTTTTTTTTAAATTCTAAGCTTCATAGCACAGGAGCCCCTCCCCCATATTGGATATTATAAATTATAATATGAAATATTTATATAGATAGATATTTGATTTTACTTTCTTCATAATTTTTCCATTGAACATTTTATTAAATATTTTTTAAAAAATGTTCTAATCTCAAGATATATCAATTAGGGACTTTGCATTGCTGCAGTATATGATTTCTTTGTTCATCAGAGAGAGAACCTCAATGTGTGCATGTATGTCTGATTTTTACTCATTTTTTCTGAAAAAATGCTTAATTCTTTTTGAAGGGGGAGGGGCTCTGAATGTTACAAAATTAATTTGGAATTTTATTTGATATCCTTTAGAAGAAGAGGCCCATACAAAGATTTACAAAAATGATCAAGTTTTAAAATTAAAATGTACAAATTTTTTTTTTGCCAAATGATTGTTGATAGCTTAAGATATCATAATATATATGTAGAAAAAAAGTCATGTCAGATGGTTAATTTGTTGACCCCCAGCCTCCTTCATGTTCATCATATGTCTAAGTTTCTGAGTAAAAAGTTTTTGAATAAAAAACCCTATGTCTGGGTGGTTGACAGGTATTATGTAATTGAAAGGAGAAAATTATATTCCATTTACTGAATTTGTAGAATGTACCAGTGATTATGTCAATCCATTCATTCCATATTCATTTCTGTCAAAACCTTTGTATTATATATTAAATGCAAGGCTCAGGATGAATAAAAATGGTGAATGATCAAAAGTATTGTACTTTTTATATGCCTTGATCAATATATCGGGGGGTGCATATTGTTTTTGTCTTGTCTGCCTGTTTGTTTGTATGATTGTCTGTATGTTTGTTTGTCTGTCTGTTGTCAACTTTATCCTTTGCCAAAACTTTTGAACCATGAGAGATAGAGACTTCATATTTGATATGCTTACTCCACTAATTAAGTTCTTTCAAATGACCTCAAGGTAAATGACCTTGTGACCTTGTCTTTGACCTATATGCTAAAATAGCTTTTTCAAACCTTTGCTTTAACTTTTGAAACCTAGGAGATAGAGACTTCATATTTTGTATGCATACTCCACTAATTAGGTTCTTTCAAATGACATCAAGGTCAATTAATTTGTGACCGTGACTGTGACCTATATGCTAAAAATAGCTTTTTCGAACTTTGTTGCTGCCGGTTGCATCGTGTTTCACAAACACATCTTGTTCTTATATTTTTTAAAAAACCTTCATGTGAGAGGTTGCAGGATCCTACCTCATGTTTTGGAGGTCCGTGTTTGCTCTGCTCCTATTTCGTATTGTTTTATGGACTTTTGAGCTTGAATAGCATTTGTTATCTCCATATATTTCATTTTACCGTTTCATATTGCAGTTGTTTAAGGAAAAGAAATGAACATTTTATGTAAAAACTTGTGCAAAATCTTGACAAAATTACCCAGAAATACTAACGTTTATCTTTACCATAATTTTTGGCAAAAATTGATATGTACATGTAAAGACGATCGGCCCTTTTTTGCAGACATCTTAAAGCATTAGGACATGCATTATAATAATGACAAATAGTATGATCTTACTTGTGTAACATGTGCCGTTGCAATGTACTTTATAAAACATGGTACCGATATAAACTATAAAACAAGGGATGTTTGTAAAACACTGATGCCCCTATATTGCAGCTTATGACAGGGGTTGAATTCTCTCAAATGCATGCCAAACTTCAAATGTCAAAGTCAAAAGGTTAAAAGTTGGTACCCTGAGGAAGGTCTTGTTTTAAGGAATACACCTGTGAAATATAAAAGCCGTATTTTTAATTGTTCAAAAGTTATGACTAAGGCTAACGTTTTTCAAAAGTGGATAAAACTCTTAGGTCAAGGTCAGAAGGTAAAAAATATTTATACCAGCTGAAATGAGAGCCCAAGCTTCAACTTTTCAAAAGTTACGGGCAAGGTTAAAGTGTGGAATTTTTTTTTGTAAAAGTAGGTCAAACTCCAAGGTTAAGGTCAAAAGGTCAAATTTGGTGGTACCTAAGGAAAGGTCTTGTCACAAAGAATACACATATGAATATAAAAGCCATATTTCCACCCACTCCATAGTAATGGGCTAGGTTAAAGTTGACAACAGACAGACAGACAGGACAAAAACAATATTCCTCCGGCGTCTTTCGATCCCGGGAGATTAAAAGCTACAGTTCGGTGTACACAGAAGTGCCAGTTTCCTTTCGTCCTTAAATTTTACGACGTTTTTAAAATGTGTCATGTACAAATCCTGTGGTGTAAAGGCTAGCATACTTGCTCTTTAGACGGCAAGGGATCCAGGTTCGATTCCTGGTGGGTTTTCTTATCATGTCACACTGAGAAAACGTTTGATGTCAAAATTCTCGTAGTTAATCCTAATTTATCAACTTTCAATCAATCACTTTTAACAAATCTTCAAATTAGTTTGAAAATATTATCAAGAGACAAACCTTTTAAAATCTTGAAAAAAAAACTTCTTGTA